CTCGCGGAGTGGAAGAGCTCCAGCGCCCGGAGCCCCTGCGTCACGTTCTGGCCGAAGACGACGATGCGGTGGTAGTTGGAGGTCGGGAGGAAGAAGCCGTGGCGTCGGTAGAAATCGATCGGGGGCAGGCGCACGTCCGACGCGATGTCCGTCCCTGGTCGGGAACGACGAATCGGTTGCCACAAATTTGAAATCGGGGGAAATATTTATCGATTTGTACGGAAGTTCGTGTGATTTATAAATTTGCCTTCCAAATTTTCCAAGCGATTTTCCCTGCAATTATACGCATTTAAAAACTCTTCGCTTTCACAACATTGTAAATACGGTCCACCGACAAAAGCATTTCTCGCCCAACACAAATTTACAAAATTTTGAAAATAAAATATAAACCCAGAGCAGAGGAGACTCGACGGGACTCACAGGGGAAATTGACGGCCCGGGGAATGGAGCTGGTCCTCTGAAACTCCTCTCGGTTCCGGACGTCGATGAAGAGAGTCTTCTGGTCCTTCATCCGTTCCAGCAGTTCTTCGTACGACACGTCTAAGTTAAAAAAGCACACAGTTTTGGATAAATTTATGCGCGGTTGAGTGAAGTCGATTTAATGTAATCAACAATCGATTGAAAGTATTAGCTCGGCTGAGATATAAACAAATGATACATTAATGTATTTTCTGAAATTTAATTTTCATTTGCATTTTTTATTTTCATCTCTTTTCGTTGAAGAGTCCTTCCATCTTGATTGCTCAAAGGAAACTCCTGCAAGTGTCCTCCTTCGAGAAGAGATCTTCGTTTGCGTTATCTTAAGCGGCACTAACGCTGGCTTTAAAGCTCGTTGACGACATTATTTCTATCATTTCTTATTCATTAATTATTAATTAATTATTTATGCGTGGCTGAGACGGAAACTACAGGACGGACGCAACGACTCGAGTCTGATGCATCGGCTCGGAGAATCTCACCCGGTCGCCCTGTTCCGAGGGCCGGGCCCGGTCGCCGTGCTCCAAGGGCCGAGCCCGGTCGCCGTGCTCCAAGGGCCTGGTCCGGTCGTCCGACTCCGAGAATCGCATCCGCTCGTGGGGCCGGGCGAACCGGTCGGTGGAGTCCGACTCCCCTCCGTCTCCCTTCCGGATCTTCTCTGTGGAGCCGAAGTGGCTCACCCAGTCGGTGATCCCGCCCAGGTAGGCAAGGGGATCCTCGTATCCGAATGCCTCCAGCATCCGCTGGGCCTTGACTAGGTTTAGTTTGGTAAAATTTACAATATCTTGTAGTAGTTTGTATTAAAGTGTAAATTTAAATTTACTTCTTAGTTTGATAAAGTTTACTTTTTCAAATCCTTGTATTAGGTTGTTAAAATCATTTCAAATGCAAAAAACATAATCAAACATAATTTAAACCAATATCCTTCCCTCGATATTTGTTAAAGCGGGGGCAAACGGGATTCGACCCGTCGGAGGCGAGAGTCGCTGGGGAGGCACTCGCAGAGCAGGCGAGCATCCGATCGGCATTCGTCCTTAAAAATAGCTTGAACATTTTCGAACGAAACACTCATCTGTCCACCTTGGAGCTGCGTTTATGCCAAATTTCAAGAAACTTTTGATAATCCCAAAGAATCTTGTTTTAAAATTTGTTTTTAAAAAAATTACCTACATTATCTTAGTTTTGGCTGACCCAACCCACCCTAGATACCGAACTTCACTACCAAGCAAGAAAACTGCTGGAATTTCAGGTGGGATGCTGAGGAAAATTGCGCATTCGCATTCATGCATACATCTCGGCTGGAAGCAGTTGCAGGAATTTCAAGCGGAAAGTGACCGAATGGTCGCCAAAGAGATTACAAAATCTCTTTTTGACTATTCTTAAACTTTTCCTAAGGAAAATACGGCAAATATGGCGTGTAAATACGACAGTGATTCAAATAAGTAACATCCAATTCCGGTATCTCAGTTATAAGTTGAATAACAAAAAAATTCAATATCCAATCATCCGCATCAGGCAGGACTTGCAGCACAACTGAAGTGCACAACTTTTGCAATATTTGTGCGCATCCATGAGGGAAAATTGCGAAAACAGACCCGAATGGAAGAGGTTTCCCTCCCGGTTATGACGACTGTCGTGGCATTCTTCTCGGGCAGGGACTCGCCGTACCTCCTCCGGAAGGTGTCCCGAGGCAGCTGGAACGCCGAGCCGATCTCGCCCACTGCACAGCGTTTAGAACAATTTTACGGTGAAAACTATTAAGAATCTTTGGTGAGGGGTTTTGCTGAGAGATTTTGCTGGAGTTAGCGATTTTTTATTCCCAAAATATGAAGGAGTGAAATCGCTGACTACTCTTTTTTTCTGATCAAATTTGGTGACGTTCTTTGAGTTTGTAAACAAATTTCCTTCTCAGAGATTTTCCTCTTTGTTCTCAATGGAGTCAAAATCGGACTGAGGTCAAAACGTAAGAGACTCGCTTAGGGAGAAAAAAAATCAAATATAAACCATTTAAGTACTCTTGCAACCGCTTAGTTCTCTTATAAGCTTTAAGAAATCCTTTAAGGTATAAACATAATTCCAATCGGCCGTCTTTCGTTTTCCAAGCGTATATGCCACCTTCCCAAGAATTCTTCCGTTAATTCAGAAGGGGAATTCTTCAGCGAATTTCAGGCTGTCTCAACCGTTCGCACCGGGATCGCCGGTCCAAGGAATGAAATGACGAATTGTAAAGTAGTAGATAGGTATAGTAGGTAAAGTAGTAGGTGGAGGGTCTGTTAAGTTTACAAAGAACCTAAGTCGTTTTGCTAAGGTTCCCTTAGTTATTAAACCCCGTTAGAATTCGAATTTTTTATTACAGGGTATATCTCTGAATTCACTAGTGGAAAGTTTCATTTCAATAGCCTATCGACAAATTAGGTTACACTAGAGTTACAGTTTCTATCAACTCCAAGTCGTTTTCAATTGTGGAAAGTCGCCCCTGGGCACTCTCACCCCCGTTTATCGAGACGAAATAAATTGAAAAATTTAGGAAATATCTATCAAGTATCTGAAACCGAAGGTTTTCAGCTCGGCTGAAATGGCACAGAAATGAGAGAGAGAAAGAGAAACAAACGGGCAAACAGACTTCCTCACACTTTTCCAAAGGTACCATATCACAAGCGCATCGAGCTCAATGGATTGATTCCCATTCATTAATGGGAATCGCCACTACCGCCCTTCCTTGGACAAGGTCGATTCCGTTCCTGTGGGTTCCTCATACCCGTGCCTCTCTCTACTATTCAGGGATACGCATTCGGCCTTCACCGCGTTCATTGACGTTCCAGGTGCAGAGACGGGGGCTTTTCGGGCTTTGTGTTCTATCCCGAACACGTCAATGCCAGTACCGGAAAAAAAGGCTGATTCGGTCGCGCTTCGTAAACCTCTGCTTCTCGTCACGTGAGCCCAACACGCTACTAGTCGAAACACCGACATTTGTGACGATATTTCGGTCGTAGCTTGCCGAGTTTTAGTCGCAA